ACATTAAAAGAAAGAAAGACAAAAAAAAGCTTAAATCTAAAATTTGCATGGGGAAGAAGACGTGGCACAATCAAACATTAATACATGTACATCTTCATAAACTTTGAACTGAAACCTTAAACGCTATCAATTTAATCACTAAATCAGGCAGAAATCCTCATTAAGGGAGAAGTAACTCATTTCAAAGAACTTGCAAGTGAAATCAGTGAATTATGAAATGCTCATTTCAGAGTATGTTATACAGTCTATACAAGTTGCCATCATAAAACACCAACGCTTTCAAGATGCATTTCCCTACAGCATATTATTTTTAAAAGTTCACGGAAAGAAGGAAAGCAGAAATAGTAGTAAAGTGCACACAGCAGAGAATATTATCTTCCATGAGAAACACATTTCTCCATTGTATTTTTTTTTAATTTGCCTTTAACCACTTAAAAAACGCAAAAACTATTATGCACATTATTGTACAGAAGTGTTGAAGGGACGTTTGAGAAGAGGTTTTGTGGCACATATGATTGATTTGTAGAATATTGAAAAGAAACTTTGTCAGGACAGCCATTGCTACTGAGCCACAACTTTCCACTCTGTCAGCTCCAGCCTGACTTTGATCTTCACATTCCAGGGGAATACAGCAAGATGGTTGAGAAGACACTTTTCATTATATATGCTGCTACTGTCTGTAGTTCTTAACTTTATGGATAGATTAGTCTCTTGGGTGAAATATTTTATGTTTCTTCTCAGTCCAAAGGTGAATTAGCCTAGAAGCATGACAAAATTCTACCAGGTCACACACAGCTCTGTGACACAGACAGAGCTGAAAGATCTGTACACAGGGACACTGAGTTTTCTGCCACCCCCAATTTTTCTCTCCTAATTGTACCACATGCAAAGGTTGCCTTCTCTCCAAATGCCCCAGACTCCATGAAATACACCATTCCCACTTTGTGAATTGCCTTCCACTTCGTCTATTTTTATCAAGTCCAAATAATTCTGAATTTGTAGAAGCTTTTCAGTTCACAACACAACAAGTAGTAGATCAAATCTAACTACTTATGGGCAACTGGCAGCATCTCATTTCCCCATCTATATTGAAGGGGTAATTAGGTCAGTTTTTGGAAGTCTTCAGACCAGAAACTTCTTTTTATTCCTTCCCTCTAAGCATCCATCAGCAAAGAGAAAGAAGAAGCTCTCGAGCTTCAAAAAAAACTTGAATGACATGCTGTTAGTAGCAGGATTGCCAAGGCTGCAGACTTTGCTTGTCTGCCTCAGTGGGACAGTTCTTCAGATCTCTCTTACAGGAATACAGTACAACACCTCCCTCTCCTTATCACTTTGCAAATGCTCTCCACCCACAATAAATTCACAGTTGAATCTGGTCTTTGCTCCTTCGCAAATCACTGATTGAGTACTATGTGCAACACAGCCCTGCTTTAGCACACAATGATGCCCATCTGAAGGTACATTAGACCATGAGATCCATTCACTTCAAGTACATTTTGTGGATGTGGTACCAGAGAATGTAAATCCCTGACTGCTGAAACAGGAGATGGAAATGGGCTCAATTTGCAGACACTCAGCCACAGAATTGGAACCAGATTACATTTCCTCTTCTGTAATCAATAATGGAGACCAGCTTTTAGGGGGAAAAAAGAACCCCCTCAAAAGTCCCCTCTCTAGAAGAGATACACTATTGATAATAGTAAAGATACTTTTGAAGAGTCTATGATCTCTGCTAATGCTAAGACGACAGCATTTCATGGTGATAGCCACATAAATATAAAATGATTCAGCTGGCATAGACCAATGAAACACTGATTGTCTCATCACTGCTCAGGCTTCCTTCTCCACTGATGTTTGTGGGAATCTTACTTTTAAGCTACACTTACTTGTAACAAACTGAAGAGTCATACATTTGTGTAAACATTTGGGCATGGTCATACAAAACAGCATTCTCAAACATATACAGCATTTCATAGATAGTTCAGAAATCAAATGAAGTGCAGAGACATGAGAGAATGTGTATGTGAGTATAACCCTACTGTTAATTTACCGTTTCTTCAATTCAATAATAGTAATGCATTTCAATATGTGATCCTGAAAGAGCTGAAAAACTGAAATGAGGTAACTTACTTGTATTTTTATCATCCATGAGTATTCTAAACAACATCTGGCAACCCATCGCAAGACCTGTCAATGCAGTTACATAGTACAGAGTGCAGACATGAATGTACAAAATTTTGCAAGCACAGGTATGCTTGGTTCACAGACCTACGTAGACTCACAAAATGCTGAAATTTAATTCTGCTCTAGAAGTTTCTATGCAAAGAAACATCAGGAAACTGCCATCTGGCTTGTTTTCTGGATTCCATTAAAAAAAGTCATCCGTGCACAACGGAGGAAGCATCTATACTGCACAAGCACATTGTTTGGCCCGCAAAACACAAATGGTTTGTGAGTGAGAATGACTTGTCTGGTTCCCAGAGCCCAGATCCCAAACTGAGTTTGAAGGGCTTTCAGGGAAAATGAAAAGATGACTAAATAAATAAATATACAAAACACATTTACAGACAATTCTGTGACATTTCTATACTTGCTTTCAGACTATAACTATTCAAGGAATAAAAGTTATCACAGTATAGAAAATACTGTCTCATTAGTGTAGCACAGGCAACTTTATGGTGACTCCGAGAATGATCTATTTCAACTCCTCACTTTGTGCATATAAAAACGTTAGAAATGCCTGAAGCATAGTTTGCTGCATTCCAGTCAAATTGTTGTTCTCACTTCAATTTAATCACCTTCACTGGCACACTTACCGAGTGCTTCTATTCATAAATTGCATTTTAATAACCCACCTAATTGCCTCCTGTTCCCTAAGCTGATAAGCTTTTAAAAAAACAGCATCTTTGGTATCTTCTGCTACTTGCAAAATTCAGCTGAGTTCTGTAGATGTTTCTATCTATCGCTTCCTGCAAAAGGTGGCTGCAAGAGGGAAAGAGAAAAATTGAATAAGGCCTGAGGAGTCTGAGTAAGTGTAATTGCAATTGAAGCAAGGCACAAAGCTCTATCAACTTCACTTTAGTCACTTTTTAAAATGTGACAAAACTTGCCTATAAAATAAATATTTGATTAAAATATTCATTGAAAAAGAGTATCAAAGGCTGGATTAAAAAATGAAAGCTAAGCAAATCCTCTAAGAAGTTCTGCAGGATTCATTTCTATACCATGTCCACACATTCCTATAGTGTCTCTCTACAGCAGATGTTAGCTGATTGTTGCGTTAGAAATAGCTGGGCAGGGGGAGGTTTTCTGATTTTAAGAAGTCACCATTGTATCAGATTTCAGCTATGAAGTCATTGTTTATGAAGGGTGCTATCCAAAAAAACAACCCCAAAAGCCAACACATTGTGAAGGGATCCAGAGATCCAGCACTAGGAATGTTGCTTAGACCCATTCACCTCCTCCCTCTCTGAGGGAAGCACCTCCAGCAAACAGAGCTTTCATCTTTCACATTAAGTTGCATTGCTGTTGGCAGGGGATACCTGTGCATCAGTTATACAAAAATGTCTCATCAGCAAACTGGGAAAAAATCTCTAGTATTATTTATCACAGAATATCAGTTTACAGAACTATAAGGACAGTGATGTAGGAATACTTTTATTTTAAATACAGATTAATTCCTGTTCCTGGTGCTTAGCACATGCTACTGAAAACAATTCCTGCTGTTCACCAAAAGCGCAACAAAGAGGTATAGCAGGCAAGTGTTTACCTCCTGATAATGGATCATTTTGTACCTTCATCCTATCCAAGCCTAGCAGATGTATGGAGAAAAAAAAATACGGTTTTAATACTCAAGAGAGGTAGTACACTGCTGTTTTTATAGTTCTCTGGCATCGGCCCTTCGAAACAGCTGGAAGCCTCAATGGCTGCCTTCTCTGTAGCCCTCCCAGTCAGTGTATACACACAGCTCTGACAAATTCACTACCCCTAACCCGAGGCTATGATGCCACAATCAATCTGAAAGAGAAGAAAGAAGGACAACAAAAAATATTTATGCACTCAGATTTGTATGTTGTGTACAATATGAAAATGCTCAATACCATATTCTAAGAAAAATATATTGCCTGATATTATGTGTGATTACAAATAATTCCTAATAACTTTTAGGGATACATATCTAGCATTTACGCCATTTATGCATCATCTAAGCTTTATTATGATTAAGCTACAGAACAGGTTCCAAAAGCATACTGCAAAAGCTTCTCCTTGCTGACAGACTTGTTTCTATACATGCACAAATTTGCTCCTCTCTTCGCTAGTATTAGCATATTATACAGACAAAACTTTTTTAGCATACATTCATCAGTAAATGTCCAAGAAGAACAAATCAATATGCCAAAAGAGAATTACAAAACCTAGGTGATAAAGCTCATTTTCCAAGAGCTCAGAAACTACAGAATACAATAGTACAATTTATAACATTTTTCATCCTGATGCCAGAGTCTGTTTTCTTCTGTGCAAAAATTCAGTGCACTGAAAATCCTGAAAGCATCCGACTCCATATTGGCTGGAGTGAAAATACAACACCTATAAAGGGTTCCTAATGGACATGGTGAAGTCATAGTTTCACTTTTTTTGGCATTTTCTGAAGTAGATTCAGTGAGGTCATCATATATTTTTGTTTCACTTTCACCAGCTCATAGAATCCTAGACTCAAAACTGCCTAAGGTGAAAGGACTGATCTAAGGGTTGTATTTAACAGGGAAGAAAAAAGAACAAGAAAAAAAATATCAATATATTCTAGAGTATTTTTATTTTTGTCAAGAAAGCTTTCAATACGTCACACCAAAGTCTGCAAAATGGCTTAAGTTTTTATTGATAAAATGACATCTTAAATAACGTTCTGCACAACGTCTAGTTCTTTAGTGATAAGTTGACTATATCTAAGATGTACTTTGAAGTACGGGGAAAAGAATTTGCCCATTTACAATTCACAATCAACCTCAAAAATTCTGTTACTGTGTTTAGGTCCCTCCTCTTTAAGTTTAACCAGAAGGAAAAATTCCTCAGAAAACCATTAACATACGTTTAAAACAAGACAAAGTTAAAAAAAAAAAAGTCTAACATTAAAACCATGTTAGACTCTTTTCAGAAAAAGAGGCAGAAGAGATGACTTCAGAAGAACCTTTAGAAGCAAGATCTCAATATTGTTTTTCACTACAATCTTAACACACATACAGAACTCAGGTGACACCAATGAATCCAAAGTAGCAGTCAATGCAATCATCTTGCGTGCTCAAATTCAGAAGATGTGTTTCATGTGCTTGATTCCATATGTTTTGAAGAAAACCATGATGATCAATGCCCAGAGTCCTAAAATAAATCCTCCAGGAGGATGCCAGTCCTTTTGTTTTGGTTTCTGGAAAACAAACAAACAAAACAAAAAACGAACAGAAAGAGAAAAACAAAGAATTTATACTTAGTTTTCACATGAAACAGGCACTATGTTTATCAAATGCAAAAAAGTAAAATCCTTGCAGTAGAGAAAAATACCAATAAGCTGTATTTCTTCATAAAGTAGAAGCATCTTTCTTCTTCATGTGATGGAAAGGCTGATGGGAGGTGAGCTGCCACTCAAGCAGAGAGGTTAAGTACCACAAAAAGGCCGCTAGAACTGTGCCTGAGACACCACTTTGATGGTGTGTATCAGTGTTGTGGGACATGTTCAAACTCATTTGTTTGGACGGAATTTCTCGTATCTGGTCTCATGTTAATACAAAAGAAAAATGCTTTCCTACAAGTGAAAATGTGAAAGAGAAAACACAGTGTTGTTTTTCCACTACCTAGAATGTTTTCTACAGCTCCTTTTGTACTCAGAATTATGCGAATAAACAGATACCTAACCATGTAAGAAGCTAAGATTCATTATTACAGGAATATTATAAAACAAAATAGAATTGTTTTTAATGTCAATCACATTTCCCAGGGGCCTCATTGAGTCTAACTGCCTTTCCTTAATGTAGAAATATTCTGCAATTCAAATACCTGTCCCTTCAACAATTTTTTCATCTTCACTAAAAAGCTTCAATTTGTTAAGGTCTTTTCTGTCTTACACTTAGCAGTAAGACAAGACAAAATTTCAGATACTTCATATTCAGTGAGAAATGGATTGCAGAAGGTAAGCTGTTATGTACCCCAAGATCTGTCTCTGGGGCTAAGAATAAGGTGAAGCTACACGAATACAAAATTTTAGTTAAGAATATCATGACAAAAATATCAGAATTACAGTATTTATAACTCAGTCCCTCATACCTGTGCCTACTCTTGCCCTCAGCAGGTATGTTTTACAGATCTTCCTTCACAGACGGAGATGATTTACTATTACAATAATAAATACTGAAGTGCTTGCTGAGCTTTTTATTCCTGCCTTGCAAAAAGATCTGCACTATTTTGTCCTTGTTTAGAATGAGACACAAGGGGCACAGAGAGTATTTTGGCTTTGTTGCATTTAAGTCAAATTTAAAATTCTCTTTCTGCCACATGAATAACTATTACCAAAGACGGTACTGTTTCAATTTCTGCATGAATCTGCGTACGGAAGCTTGTCATTCTCCACTAAATGTACCAGGTGGCTGGTGAACTTTATTGCAATAAGGAACAGTTTGCAGGGTCTGTTCTTTCAAAACAGCTTTCCTATCAACAAGAAAACAATGTTTGTTGATTGCTCAGCTCCCATTTTCTAAGCTACATAATTTTAGCTTTAGGATTTTTCTTTAAGTACCATGCTTGTAATTAACAAGTGTAACAAATAGCCGTGTCACCTGAGACACCAAAAGAACGTGGCACTCTAAAATATTAATGATTTTCCTCTGATACAGGAATCACAGAATCAGCATTATAATTTACATCAACAGCAACAAAACCAAAGATATAAGCAGAGATGGTGTCTATAGAGGCAAACCGCTCAACTTCCTAAGAAGTACTCATCAGCTGCAGTGTACGTGCTGGTGGTAATCTGCCACCTCGCTGATATTCACAACCATACATCTCCATATAAACATCTCAGAAAATCAGCTCTGCATGTTCAAAAAGGCTGCCAGCACACCTCGCTTCTGAAAGTAACAGCACGTGGCACTCCTCCACACAAAGGAACTTTCTTGTTTAAATCCTCCTAATTAACCCGTAACTTTGTATGCATATTGCAGTGCCTGTTTCATCAATCTCTTTGTACTATCAATCTTTCCTTTCTTGGATCTGAGACAAATTCCTTACCACAAAGTGGCACCTGACCCTTTCTAGACAAATGACTTCAATTTGCAGTCAGTGACACTAAAAGGCTCTCTCTCCTATTTTGTATAGAACACATAATTTAATTTCTTTAAAGAATTTATATGAATAAATATTTATAAGGTGATCTATGAGTATGGTTTTACATTTTGCCATGCCACATACTGATGCCTCCGTGGAATTCCGCAAGGAAACGGCGGCCAGTGCAGCAGTGGCTCCGTGCTGGGAAATCAAGGACATACATAGAGTCGGTTTAAAGCCATGGGATGCAATGTTAAAATGTGAAGGATTAAAAACATGAAGGCATGACAAAAATACATATGAGGCTATACAAGAGCCACATACTTAGTAATCTTAAAAATAGATTATCTTCATGAGAAGGATTTACAGACCCAGAAACTGGAATCTACACATAAACCTCAACAAAAGGGCAAAGAGATGCAACTCTATTGTATATCTGTAAGTCAATAGTGAGGTTAATTGAGCACAAAATTATATTGAAATATGCCAGTATTTTCCACTAGGGGCATACAGACATCAAAACCTTATGAATATCTAAAACAGGGTTACACAGATTCATGTTTAAAGCTACAAAGTATACCTGTAAGAGCTGAAATACGTAATTTTCTTTAAATTAACTTGATCATAGATTCCCAAGAAAGTTCATCACTGAATTAACAATGTAATCAGCTGTCAAATTGACAAGTTCATCCTTCTAAAATCATTAACAACTATGCCATAGAAAACTTCAGTAAAAAATCTTCATCCAGCTGGGCACGTCAGCTGAGCAGCAAACAGCTCTGAAGTTCCTTTACAAAAAGCTGCACTTTGCACCTGTGAATCACACCCATCTACATGTAAGATGGAGTCACTGCTTCCATAAAATAGTCAGCAAATCGTACTTCCAACATAGGCTGGCAGCAAGCTTTCAGCTGGCACTGTTTTAACAGCAGACCCAACAATTCTCTCCTCTTGGCACAGTTGTGTCACTACCAAAAGCACTGCCAGTGTACCTGTGTCAGTGAGGAAGCGCGGCATCACTCCAAGCTGTCACAGCTACACCAGCAGTGTTGCATAATGAAGTCAGAGGCCCAGGCAGGATGCCCTTCTATAAACATACGTGAGCCTCAACTGTATTGCTGCAGAAGCTGCTTTGACTATTTTGTGCAGGCAGGCGAGGAAGAATCACCAAGATCTCTCCTAATGGGAAAAAACTATTAAAGTAAGAAAGAATCACTTTAACAGCAAATAAAAATGCTTCCTTTTTAGATCCACATACTGGAAAAAGGTTTAGAAAAGACAGAATTTTTCTCTATGCTTATATGAGTTCTGTGGCCATAAGCAATCCCTAAATAAACTGTCCCTTTATATCAATTTTAGGATTGAACAGAAAGCATTAGTGAATATAGTTTTTCCCAGATTAAAAAAATAAATGAATTAAAAAAAAAAATCAGTATTTATGCTGTGAACATTGCCTAGTTCAGGGTCTTATTCTAGCAAATGTCTGTGAAAGGCAATTTTTGAAAGCCAGGCATTTTCTCACTTGCAAGAAAATGCAAAATGGATAAAAAAAATGTTAAGTGTTGCAGTATTTTAATTTGCAATTAATTATGTATCTTTACTATGCCTAAATTGATTTGAGAATGTGTACTATTAAAAGACTATAGATTGGCTGCAGTACTTACAAATTATGCATAACTTTCTCATATTTGGGACTGATCTGGAGAGCAGAGGCAATAGGTTGTTAGGCTCAAGTTATTCTGAATTTCACTGCTGTAGTACCCACCTAAGAACTTAGTATACCAAATAGTGCTTATGTAACTGACATATCTAGGTTTGTGATTTATGCCACAATATAACCCCATTATAAACGCCCTCTTTATCTCTACAATAATAGCAGTAACACATAGGTGAAATGCACATACAAAACAGTACAATGTGTCATGAAAAAATACATTTAGCAGCTTAAGGGCTAGTCATTAGCAAATTGCTGGAGATTCCAAATTAAAAAGATAGGTAGCTAAGCAACAGCAAGCTTCCTCCTGTGAACAGTTTTCTGTTGTATGCTTTCTAGTTCTGGTAGACTCATTATCCTGTGGAACTTAAAAACAGTTAACAGAGAGTTGCTCCAAGTACTGTAATTAAGGAGAGAATAAAACAGTGTATTTTCAAACTGGATGGGTCTGTAGGGACCTGAATGGAAAGTATCCAAGACTTTCAATGAAGGTCATAAAACATGCAATACTTATTACTCCAATTAAAATTAGTTTTATGTAAAAAATAATAAAGTATTAAAGCTGAAGTGGTAATTAGATTAAGAATGGTTTAATTTTAAAATGTTACATCAGAACAGAAATAAGATTTAAAACATCTTGTATTAACATTTCAAGTGGAAAACACTGTGTTAAATGTCATTATAATCCAACCCTACAGTCCTCTTCCAACCGAACTCCCTTTGCATTAGTGTCATCAATAAGGACAAAAATACTGGTACAGAAAGCTTTGGGTTAAACTCAGAACCCACGTTTGGATGGTAGCAGTAGAGAAAGCAGTGCATAGTCAGGAACGTAGTAATTCCCAAATGGAAAAGGGATACGCAAATTCTTCAGTCTCCTCCAGCATCTTATTCCAAACAGGGCTTTAAGAAAGTAGGCAAAACCTTAAAAATGAATGTGCACATCATCCCTGTTATGGGGGATGTTCTCCCCAACCTGAGGCAGATGGTGTGTGTTTGTACCACGAGTGCAAAATATCCGTATGTAACCGCATGAAAATAAAACATTAGAAGTGCTGTGTGTTCCAACAAGTCCATTAAAGTGGCAGCTATCGTATTTCAAATTAATCCCTGCTTAATTCTCTCTGGAGTTTCAATGCAGAGTACCCTAGACCCAGTTTTGGCCTATTTATTGCAGCACATGTGGTATAAATTATCACCCAGGATTCTGGGGCTGCCTGGCAGACAGCAGCAGCTACAGCACTGGGGGGGAAGTCCTGTGCACCCCCCTCTGTAGAGTTCTCCACCTCCACTACTCTTGGGGGTCAGCATGCACTTGCAGGGAAGCGAAGCATGCTTGCTGCTTGTCTGCGCAGTGCTCGCCATCATCCTTAGATCACTGGGGTCAGTTTTATGTA